GGGTATGTGCACCATGAGCCGCATCCACAGCCCCATTGATCAACGCATCATGTCCCACGCGGGGACCATCCGCGCCAAGTACCGCCTTTGAGCTGTCGCCCTTGAGCCAAATCTCCGTAATCTCGTCCCGCGAGGGCATATAGGCGACAATACACGCCGACAGGATAGACCAATGCTCGGCCGGATCAGTATCAAGCACCAACTTGGGGGTTGCGTCCGGTCCCTCCGGCGCATCCGACACGACAGCCGCAACGCCGCCGGCCACTAGATCCAGACAGTCAATGCGAGCATCGGCAATGGCGGCCGAAGCCGCCGTGATGCAGCCGGCAAGCACGTTCATCATACCCCAGGCGGCGTCGTGGGAGTCCGGTGCATCGGCCCACCAGCGGTCATCTTCGGCTTCCAAGATTGTGATGGTGATATCGAGGCCGCTCTTGGGCCACCGTTCGGCGACGATGACGCCTCTGAGTGCCGTCTCGAGGTGCACGCCGAGATCGCGCTCGCTGGCGTCGCGGATATGACCTTTTCTCTGGCGGGCTGCGAATGGGGCGTACTTCACGTGGGTCGTCAGGACGAGGTTGGGAGAGAAGGTCGCCGAACGGGGCAGCGGCTTCGGGCCATGGACGGTACAGGCGAGTTTCAGGGCGGAAGAAGGAGGGATGAGAGACTTGGGGTTGGAACGCGCGGCGGCGAGAGAAGGTGATGGTTCGAATTCTAGGTAGGCGGAACCAGATGCAGAAGGGATCAGGCCGGTTTTCAGGACTATCCAGACATGTAAGTTCTTGAACGGGACTATAATGGAAATCCCAGAGGGTATGGATCCTTACAGATCTTCCGCAGTTCATTCGGTTGCCGTTGACGCTGGGGTCTTGTGGCGGCGCCGGGGACGGCATTGAGAGAAGAGGCAAAGACAGGTGGCCTCGTGCCGCTAGGCGGCCCATTGATTCTCCTTCTGTCAGTCATTACACATGACTTGACGCCCTCTGAGGAGTCGAGCGGATAAGTGGAGTGGGTTGAAGCAACGGAGCTGAAGTCGAGGCCCGAAACGGAAATCTACAATTTTGGAGGGATGTTTGCTCTGTTTGCTGGGCGGTGTGGAGTCGGCGCTAGTTTTTCCTCTCACTTTTTCCTCTTTTTCTTCTCCTCCTCCTTTCTTCTCTTCCTCGCTTCTCTTCCACACAACATCCGCTTTATCTCTGGCGAATTGACCTTTTAATGACGAAGGCTCAATCCAGCTACATTAGCACCTTTTCTTCTCTTCCAGGATACTAACCTTTACTGTAAGTTGTCCCATCATCGCTTCCACCGCACAATGCATTCTATGAGGAAAACGATCCAAAAATCTTAGTTCGGCGACAAACAAATGGGCCGTGAACAACATGCACTACCATCTGAAAATGCTTTCTCATCTCACTTTTATCTTAGCCTGTTCTTGGGAACTGTTGGCTAACTTAATATCAGACAGGTAGCTGAGCTCTCAGTGGCTATTTCACATCAAACCTGTAGACTCTTCGAAAGGTATGCCTTTTATTCCTTTTCTTTTCGGCCTCGTCTTTCCCCCACCCGTTTCCATGATGAGAAACATTTTTTACAGTTCTGCTTCTGCAAACTCATTGAAGAAAACCAAATACCTTACCAAATCTACTGATATGGAAACTCCCTTCTTGTTCATCACGACACAATCACATCACCCATGCCGACCCAAGCTAACAGCTTCAAGATACAGATATCGTAGTCTCAGCTCGCATCACGTCAGCCACTAGCACACTAGCATAGGTATGAACTACCACGCAGACAATCCTCCCTCACACCACTCCTTGATGATGACAACAAGTCAATCCATTCAATGATTCTCTTCGGAGAAACCGCCCCTCGAGCCTGCATCGGCTTCCACACATCGCACTTGAAGTGCAACGATCCGCTTGCCCACCTCCCTTGTACTGGACATTTCGTCGTCCATGTCTTTCTCGGAAGACACGGTCGATGAAATGGAGGATGGTTGTGGAGCGTTGGGTGGCGGGCTCCCTCGTTGTGTCTTCCGCGTTTGTTCCTGGCTGCGTGTTGCTGTGCTTGACTTGTGTCTTTGTCGGTTTCTCGGCTTGTCGTCCGTCCTGGATGGCTCGCGGGGGGGTCGAAATTGGCAGGGGATGGGATGAATTTACCGGCTTGGCTGATCCTTTCGCTATACTACCGGTCGCCTTCTATCTGGCGGCAGGTGGTTTCTGGCTTCTACCACTCGACAGGATTGCGAGCTTATGCTAACTGTCTTTGTAGATTCGTGTCAGCTTTCATATAGTACCCCTAGGTAGATAACTTGGAAATGAAACATAGCCATTCTACGAACTATATCTTTATCTAGAAAACGATAATTCATTCATAATATATACCACGAAGCTCAATGTAGTACTTTACATACCCCCCAGCAAGCTCCGGCAGAAGCTCACAACATCAGGTCTCATCAGGAAACCCCTGCAGGCAACCATCTTCTCCACATCCCATCCGTCTCCATCTATTCGGATTTTATTCGCCATGTAGCTTCACCATTCGGGTTCAAAAGCAATCGTATGTGATCAAGGCAGGTGAAAGGAAAGAAAACGACCGATGCGACAAACAGACACGCAGCATCTAAGACCTATCTATGAAAAGCTTTCGTGGCTCATATTCAAAGAAACAGCAGAGAAGCAAATCGTCGTGATAGCATTTGTTCAATAGGGAGGGAGGACACGCAAGGTGTAGGCGTATCCGCTTTATTCTTTTCTTTCGGTCGGGGTGGACGCACCGTTGCGCGACATACTGTAAGGCGCCTGTCATAGGAGCAGTTATTAGAAGCCACGCTGGTGATTTATACGTGGAGAAAAACTTACCAAAACCTTCTTTGCATTGCATATTCGCCAAGCAAGGTTGCGTACAGTTCCATCGGCGCGGACGACTTCCGGGGCGAATTCGATGCCGAACCTGAACACCGTGTTAACATGCACTCGGTAGACGATATTATGATAGGAAAATAGGAAGCCTTACATCTGATGCACGGCAAAAACAACCCGCTTGGCATACTTGCCGTCACGTTCGACCAGGGATCCAAACTGTTCGTCGACGGTCTCAGGCGCGACCTCTGGGTCTCGGTCAAAGCAGTTGCGAACGACTGGCAACAGACTATTTTCAACAGAGGTCTGCATCATCTCATGGTGGCCTTCTTCCTCAAACCGGCGGATGCGGATTTCAAACGGTCTTGAGATCGCCATCACGTTATGCTTGCCATTGTGGTGGTACCGGAACTCGAAGACGCCTTGGGTCCAGAATAGCTTGTCGCTGGAGAAGATGACTTCCCCCGAGGCCATCTCGCGGTTGTCCCCATGCGGAGCTGGGATGACCACATCGCTCGAAACAATCCCCTTTTCGCAGGTCAAATTGTCGTAGGATCCTTCATTCACCGCGATCCATCGTCCTTGGGAAGAAACCTTTGTGATCTCCCGGGAAGTGTTATCGGTCACGCGATAAAGTCCAATCCAATCTTTCTTGCTGTGATTGAGAGGCGCAGTCCATTTGACCTTGATCGGGGCTCCGTATTCGAATACCAAGTTTTTCAGATCACCGCGTCTATCAAGGGGCATGCGGGCATTAGCACCCTCTCTACCACTACTTTGGTCGCATTCGGCAAGAGCTGATGAATCGGTGCCTTCAACCTCCAGAGAGTAATCTCGCGAATCATATCCGGCCACGTCCTCATCGATGCGGGTGATGGTAACACGGGCGGGGTACTTCTGGAAGAGGGCGGTTGTATCCTTCACGAACGTGTCAACACCGGCAGCAAGCTTGGGGCGGGCATTTTCCAAGAAATCCTCTATAAACTCGAAAGAACCGTCGACGATTTTGTCCATACTCCCATGAAGTTGCTTGAGAGGAGGAGGCAAGGACCGTTTCAGGTTCTTAACAAGACCGGCATCGCGACGGATACTCTGGCCATAGAGCTTTTGCATGTGTGGACGCTCAATGAACTGAATGAACGCCAGGCTGAGGATGTGGCTCAGAAGCGCGAGGAACGTGATTGCTCCACTACTAGTGATAAGGACCGCACCCCAGACCCCGGCAAGACCAAGGACTCGCTCTGGGTTGTTCAGGAAGCGATAGATCCCGTTGTACGTCAACTTGGGCGACTCGTCGTAGAAGAAGTCTCCGTAGAACCAGCCAAATTCTCCAAGGGACTCATAGATACTAACGGACGTCCAGATTTGTAGGCAGATCAGCCCTGCCCCGAGAACGTGCCGGAGTAAGACAAGGCCATAGCCCCAGTCGGAGGGGAGAGTATACATTTTCCATACAGCAGCAATGAAGCTCGCGTAGCACATGATCATGCTTAGGTGATACGTGCCCTTCCACTGGTTCCACGCCTCATGGGGTGTTTCGCCATACTTGACGAAATGCCGGGTCCAAGCTTTGCAGTTGGATTGGCGATTGAGGAGGTATCCAATGCCAACAGAGTACCAGAGCCTCCACACCGCTGCATTGGCCACGAACAGGAACTGATACCAGGGCGTGGAGGGCGTAAGGACAGTGACAGCGAATACTAGGAATTGGACCAGCATGGACGAAGTATCGGTTATGCGATACAGATCCAAATTGTGGAAGCCTAACAGATTGTGGACCGATGGAGGAGGCCGGCTTGAAAACGTTGGTGCGTGGGGCACATTTTCATCAACGGGTGCTGGCGCGATGGGAGAGTCCGTGGTGTGGGTAGTCGTGGAAGCCGTATCCTGGTCGATTGTACGTTTGCGGGGTGGTGGGGGATTGTACGTCTTGTCAATGTGTGGGTTTTCGACGAAGACCAAGAAAGCGAACTGAGCTGCGTGGGCGATGATAGAGATGAACAGCACCTTGTAGCTAGCGGCCATTAGCGAGATACCGTAGTACCCCGCGTAACCAACCGAGTACATCGGGTGGGGCGCCATCTCGAAGACACCGTCGAATGTCAATTCCTGGTCGATCAGGTAGAAGAAGTCGCCCCAGTACCACGCATAGTCCTTTACCACACGATGCGCGTCTAACTTGACCCAGAGGTTGAAGAGCACCAGCACAATGCCGGAGAACCACCTCAGCACGGTCATTAGCAGGCTCTCATTGACAGGATGGTGACTACAGGCTATCGCAAAGAGACAGTACGATGTAAAGTCACACATCAAGATCAAATCGACCAGGCGCCTAAAAACGAGCCAGGTGTTGTACTCGAGAGGTGCCTTCTCGAAAGAATAGTCGTGGGGGATCTTGGTTTCCAGTTCCCGTTTGATCAGGTTGTACAGATGAGGGTGCGGATTCTGTCCCGTCGCAGGATTGACGAAGATCTTGGTTTTCTCAGCCCAGCGAACGAGGGTTTTGTGGTGGGATTGGTTGTGAAGAAGCCATCCAATCCCCGCATTGTAGCCCGCACGCCAGAAGAGATACAAGACCGCAGAGACAGGAACCTTCGCACCTTTGGGCAGCGCCCAGATAAGGAGAATATGAGCACCCAAGATAGCCAGGACGATGATATCTGATAGGTTCTTCGGCTCTGAAGGCGACAGGAGCTGGGAAACCATGTCATGTGTTTGGGGCACAGTAAATACTGAGAATCCATCATGGTTAGCACTGAGTATAGGTGAGGATGCCAGCCAAACGCCGCAGAGGCGACAAAATTGACCGGCCCAACAGATTTATAGATGTACAGAGCAAGGACTTACCTGTGCCATCCGGGGTGCGTCCATAGGTCTTCAATTCCTTCCCAGTGTCCTTCGGCTCTACGTCACCAGTGGCGGTAAGAGCCTCGGGACTGAGCGTTGAAGCCGATTGAGAGGCAACGGGTCTCTCCCGAAGCCCCTCGTTATCATTGTGAGTGCCTGTTGAAAGGCCACGATCCATGATTGTGGTTTGGGGTTGATGAAGAAAGAGAGGGGGAATCAAAGCCAAAAACACGACCAGGATTCAACCACGAGGTCACCAGCATGTGACAGCCGGAAAGGGTTGGGGTACTTAAGCGGCCAGATCTTGATTGGTTTACGTCATGTGAGACGCCAGTCCCGATTTAGTTAGCCGCGGCCGTGGTGGTATGTCGAATTCGACTTCTTTGAAAGTTGAAAACTGCGATGGTCAAGACAGAGGGAAAGGGGAACCAGAAGGGGATTAAATATGGCGGGCGAGAGGAAGAAGAGGAGAGGACGAGGAGGAAAACTTGTTGCAGAAAACAGGGGAGAAGGAGGGGTGTTGACGATTTACATCGAGAGGGACAACCGAGACAGGCCCGTGTTTATTTTAGCACCATACCGTAATGACCAAAATGCCACAATCCCCTACCTAGTCGGTACGGGTATCAATAAGGGACTACACCGTAAGTAACTCATACTACCTAACGGTAATCGCGCAGTCAGCTATCCATTCAAGTGCTCTCTAGCTGCTGCGTACAGGTAACTATTCTCGCCGACTCTCGGAGTGGAACCCCCCTCCGCTGGGGCAGAGAAACGGGGCTCCGTTGAGTCGGAAAACGCCAATCAGAGCAGCCATGAGGGCTACAGCGAAGAATGAGACGGAAATAGAGAGAAGGGCAACTAGTAATGTCATAGCACGCTACGAATAATGCATCTTATTCTGCGTATTAAACAACGCAAGAACAACCGGCAGGAAACCAAGCCCTGAGATAGCTACCTAGCTTAGTCCGCATCTACCCGAAGGTTGGACATGGCATACGTAGTAATTCTGTTCTCTACAGCGGTAAGAGGCGACAAAAAAAAAGGAGGGCTAAAGCATAGACGCAAAAAGGTTTCGCGACAACGGCAGGATTCGAACCTACGCCTCCTAAGAGACAGCCTTAGCAGGGCTGCGTGTTAACCACTCCACCACGTTGTCATTACGTAGGCAAAATGAGTGCTTAAGCAATTGTAGGGGTAGGGGCTTCAGGTCGGACGATTGGCATGCCGCACTAGACCGCCTACCGTTTAAAGAGAACTGTTACTCTGCATACCCCATAGTAGTAAAAGAATGTCGACGCCGCTCCAACCGGATAGTTAAGAAACGAGACTTCCGGGGAATTTCTCCGATGCTATGCTTGTTCGTGCGAAGGCCGTTGAACCGAAATTACCATACACGATAAACTGCATACCGATTGATGTTGTTAGGTAGGTTCTGGTTGGCAAAATTGTGTCGCCAGCTTTTCCAGTCTGCCCTCCCGTCAAAATCAACCTGCTCCCACTGTACGGAATAACCTCCTACCATGACATGGCGATGCGTTGGGCAAACAAAAATATGCGACAACGGCAGGATTCGAACCTACGCCTCCTAAGAGACAGCCTTACGAAATAGCAGGGCTGCGTGTTAACCACTCCACCACGTTGTCTATTATTACTAATCCATGACGTTAATTCACCATCTACAGTCCCACCTTGGCATTGTATATGATATACAAAAAAAGATACGCGACAACGGCAGGATTCGAACCTACGCCTCCTAAGAGACAGCCTTACACAAATAGCAGGGCTGCGTGTTAACCACTCCACCACGTTGTCTTGATTGATAAGAATTGTGCCCTAATTAACATTATCAAGCAGAAACAAATTACTGTTTGGTCTTGTTGCTTGACTGATAACTAATAGTTTTAAGCTCCTCATACCGATCAACAACGTGGGTCTAGACAGGACTCTTAACGCCTGATATCAGGACGAACAAAGCAGAACTCGAGCTCTACTGCCGAGATTACTATGGTAAATATATATATATATATATAATAAAATAGAACCCTACTGTGCCGGTACATACCCTTCGTCATATCCTCTCATTCAAGGGTCGTGGTAGAGAGGCTCTCGTCTATTGGATTCGACCCGGCATGGTGAACTCAATGGTCATCTACCGGTCATTATCCTGGTGCGGTAACTGCGGATGTCTGTCTTTAATCATGGTACGACAAGACCGGTAATGACCTTGACATGCCCCAGTTGGACGTACGCAATGGATCGGCCGCGCCTCTCCGGTCACTAAAGCTGCATACTACTCGAGCCTGCATGGCTGGAATAAGACACCTGTGTGGACGCAGGTGGGAGAAGGGCAGGGCTCGTGTCACCATGCTTTACATGGGTGTTCCGATCTTCCATCCCTGCATGGACGAACACTTCTTGGTATGTTGAGAAGTCAGTGTATAGTACATCCTTTAGCTTCATGCATTAGGGACATAAGTGAAAATTGCGATCCAATGATACTATCAAGTTGCACAACCCCGCATCGTGACAACTAAGTTCTTGTCATCACTTGGACTGATCCGGTGCTTGGTTGGTAGGATCTTGGCTTCTATGTGTGCTTGCGCCCATTACGCTGCGTCTGCCATGGGCGAATGCACCACCATGATCTGCCCGCGCCGTCTCGATTTAGGTACCCCTCTTTCCCGTCCGTTGTTACATCTAGGAGGACGGGTTTTGTTTCCATGGCCTCCCTGTCTCTTGAATGCACTTAGTCTTTCTAGTAGTCACGCGCCAGATGTTTGTTGTATATCCCTTCGTATGCAGGCCCTCTTAGCTATTTATGTAAATAGTCAATGCTGTGTTTGGTCCGGAGTGACGGTACTTAGGTTCACTCACAGTTTGATCAGTTTCTTGAGTGTTCTCTGTTTTGCGGCCCTCGACGCAGTGGAGTTCTCAGGGTGTGTGGGTAGGGGCCTGGCTAGCGATGGATATATATTTGTGCATTGAGATACCCCTCCCTTCTACCCAATCAATTCAGAGATGTGACAACCATGTACTGGGAAGCCTGGATCGCTTGCTACGACTCTCTGGAGTGCACAATACAAACCCTGCACAATAGAACACTCAGATAAGTCTTTGTGTTCAAGAAATCCGATCTGATCTTATCGCGGTCCGACACCGCACGTCGCGAATACAACCCCGCGCCAATCGCCACCGAAGGGTTTGTCATCCCGATAAGTCTGATTATCAAGCACCACTCTGCGATATCTTCCCCGCCACCGATCCAGATTCATTTTGACGCATCAACATCCTCTAGAAACCCTGTCGGGAATTAACCGCCTTCTTTTTATACCCCGCGAGAACAAAGCTGCCAGTCACACCATAACAATGGCCCCTTCTCTGGAGGAGCCGACGGCGGCAAACATCGATGCGCTGTCGAAGACGGCCCCCAATCTGGTGGCCCCGGAGCCTGGTATGGCCCCTCCGACCACAATGAAATGTCGATAACCTTTATTGACAGCTGCCCAGAACACTGCCCCGGTCCCGAATCAGAGCAAGCTGGCAAAGGCGATGCCTGCGCCGGCTGTCCCAACCAAAATATCTGTGCAACCGCGCCCAAGGGACCTGATCCCGACGTCGCAATAATTACGGAACGTCTCTCCCAAATTCGACACAAGATCCTCGTTCTATCTGGTAAAGGTGGAGTCGGCAAGTCAACGTTTTCCTCTCTCCTGGCGCACGCCTTCGCCGCGAACCCCGACTCAGATGTGGGAATCATGGACACGGACCTCTGTGGACCGTCTATCGCAAAAATGATGGGCGTGGAGGCGGAAACAATCCATGTAAGCAATGCGGGCTGGAGTCCGGTGTGGGTCACAGACAACCTGGGCGCAATGAGCATCCAGTTCATGCTGCCTAATCGGGATGACGCGATCATCTGGAGAGGACCGAAGAAGAACGGTCTGATCAAGCAGTTCCTTAAGGATGTGGACTGGGGCGAGCTGGACTACCTAATTGTTGACACCCCGCCGGGCACGTCGGACGAGCACCTGTCGGTCAATTCATTGCTGAAGGAGTCGGGCGTTGACGGTGCGGTCATCGTGACCACGCCCCAAGAGGTTTCCCTGCAGGATGTGCGCAAGGAGATTGACTTCTGCCGCAAGGCCGGTATCCGGATACTGGGTCTGGTAGAGAACATGAGCGGATTCGTCTGTACCAACTGCGGCCACGAATCAACTATCTTCCGCGCCACCACTGGCGGTGGGAAGAGATTGGCCAAGAAGATGGGCATTCCTTTCTTAGGCTCTGTTCCGCTCGACCCGAGAATTGGGCAGGCTTGCGACTACGGTGAAAGCTTTGTGGACGCCTTCCCGGATAGTCCTGCCTCGACGGCTATCAAACAAGTCG